CGTTTTTAAAGATCGATTATTAGACTCTATCGTAATATGTTATACCGCTATTCGTTGTGTGACAAGTTTCACGACACTTGTACATCGTCGCCACTTGATATCCTTGACAAAAGCGAAGAATTTTCGAATGTATAATGTAAAGTTATTTATTACATACATATGTATAAATATTTAAATACCTTTGATTATCTAAGAAAAATATGATTCAAATAGTGATCAGGGATTTTTATTTAATAACCAAATTAAATTTGTCGAATTGTAAGAAAATAAAAATAAAGTTATCGTAAATGAAGTGGAAGGTAAAATTTAACGATCGACCTTCACTTTTGTACATAAAATGCTTTTCTGCAACCAAACAAGTTTCACTTTTATCACGTATCAAGTACATTTGGGCGGTCGCGTGTTGCGATGTAATTATATTGTCAAAAATGATCCCAAATCGGATATTTATTTAAAAATAATTGAAAGACTTTGACCATACACGTAAAACGGAAATGTTGAGTCGATGATCACCGATTAATAGAGTTCATTGTAGACTTTAGTATTACTGCTACTACTTTTAAACAATTAAAATAATTGTAACTAGCGATATTAATTTCAAAACTCCACTAGAGATCTCGTAAGGAACGCCCGCGAATATTCCAATCCTTCTAATGACATTGACAGCTGTCAGTTAGAGATGTGACGTTTATGCTAATAATCTAGTGTTGCACCAATTCTACAGACCTGTACTAATTTTCTTCTTAACACTACTAATATTAACGTTACTGCCGCACTCAGATTCAAACGGTACTAAGCCTGCACTAAGGTGTCTTACTTAGGGACCATTTAACTACAGTGCCTGCTATACTAATGACTCTAAAATATTGTTCTTGTACTTCACAGTAGTCTCACTAAATTGTTGCTTTAGATATCATATCTCAAGTTTCTGCAATCGACGCATAAAAACCGGCATATTTTTGTCACTTTGCCGCTGACAGGTGGCGCTGGTTGCGACACGTAGCTTGCAACATTCGGTGCGTGAAGCGGTCACCAGATCGTATTAAGGACACGGTTGTATAATTTCGCGGCTTACGTCGCTTCGACAGACAAATTATTTCGATATTTATTATGGTTGATTTAGTCTTGGTATGAAGGAAAATGTCAAAAATACTGAAAAAAAATGTTCCTTAACAAAAATGAAGTTTGGACAAACTTTATGTTATCTAAATAAGTAAAGGACCCATTCGATTGATATACAATTTGAAATGTCTTGACTAATTGTCTGTTGACCTTGTGTGTAATAATTACCGTGCGACCTTACATATCAGATATTTAAAAACCAATTAGAAATGTTGTCAAGACTGATTTATGCTCGCACTTCTTTTGATAAGCTCTTCTAATGTGAAAACTAACAATTGAACTTTGAACTATAACCGAGAACCCCAAGGCTTTATTGTTAAATGCAAATTAGAGAATTAAAGATTGCAGCAAGTAAACGATGATAATTTTAATAAAAAAAAAATATTTTACTATTGTAATTTATGTTAATTTTGAAAATTCAAAATGTTGTGCTCATTTTCCCCCACGTTTGTATAAGAGTAAAAACGATCCAATTTATTACTTCAAAATGATATTATCTTTACAGTAGATTTTATTAAAGTAGAGAAATATCAATTTCATTTAAATATACAAAGTTAGAATTATTAAAACGCACCAAATATCTGCCAAACTACTAAAACCACGCGTGAAGTGGAAAAATAAATCACATCCATAAAGGCGAATATGCTTTAGTTGAGACTCGCCGATCGCATTATAAATGAAGCTTCTTGATTTGAAAAGATTACTCGTGAAAAATAATTTTAAATGAAGGTGACCCGCGCTGGATTCAATCTGGCTAAAGCCGTCCCTTGGACAGCCATTGTCACTTAGGATCAACGCCCCTGATGATTTATGATATCGATTTTTTTCTTATCTTTTGAAATTCGGTCATTATTAATAAAGAAACAGCCGCAAAAAATCTATACACTTTGGGACTTCAATCAATATAAGTACCACAACTAAATAGAATTAAAAAAGTTATTAAAATTAGATTTAGACGCCACTTTATTGATAATTTATAAATGTTATTTAATTTATCTTTAAAAAAGTTTTAAATGGCGCCCTCCAATAACTCGTTCTTCCAAAATTAAATTGATAATCGAAACAAAATATTTCTGACATTGTTTCGACGTTGAGGTCAAACAGTAAAGTGTCTAGATGAGATATTTTCCGGACAATTTGCGGTGCGGTAACACTACCATTGTTGTTCATCGGTCACGAGCGAGATCAATGGGTCAGACATTAACTGCCGGTAAAAATACAATACAAACAAACGTTTTGACTATTATTTCGCTTATGTTAAAACGGACTCTGTGAAAGAAGGGAGTGGATTCAGATATGATGGCTAATAGAAATGTATGGAAGATCGGCACATACTGAGCCGACCCTACGTAGGGATAAAGGCAAGTTGATGATTTCGCTTAATTCTGGCTGTAGATTTTGAATTTATTGGCAGGTTTCCACGCTAATTGTAACCATCAGTTAGTGTTTTCGTAAAACGCGATTCCCAACTACGTAACGCGAGTTTTGATACGTTAAATCTTTGTGTTGTATATTATTATTTGTGGTTCAACCTAACTCTAATGATTCACTAGTTAACAATGAAATAAATAGAAACTTTAGCTACCCAGCATAAGAGACGTTAAGTATTCCTTAGTATAGATATAACGTGGTAAATCTTCTTTAAAAGTCGAAAGATTAGTATTTTTGTATGTATGGAAATAACTCAAATACTACTAGGCCGATTTCAAAAACACTTACACTATTAAAAAGCTACGTTATCAGTGAATAACATAGAGTACATTTTTAATTTTTACGCGGACGAGGTCGCGAGCAACAGCTAGTCTATATTAAGAGACTCCCTTTGTGGCCAATTGACGAATCTATGTAATGAGCGGTCTAGATTATGTATGAACAGTATTATGAACAAGGTTATGGATACAATTTAACAATGATTATCATGTTCTTGCGAACGTCCAACTTATGTTTTCAATAGAAATCATGTTAACGATGTATGTTGCCAATATTAAATATAGTGTTGTTCAGGTCAACTCTTTGTCGTATGTTCCCACGTCGTTAATGCAGTCGGAAACTGTTACAAAAACGTAACAGTAGACAATGGAAACTAAGGGATATATGACATTAACATCGAATTGTTAATTTACAACTAATATAATGTACTCGTAATTTACTAGGGCCTGTCCCACCGGCTGATAGATGCTCAGATAGCTTAAAAATGACGTCGCTGTCAGATAAAGTAACAAAATCCGATATTTCCATCACATATTTTACACGTTAGAGTGTTATCAGACAATTTACAATTTGGTGGGACAGGCCCTAAAGATAATAAAAAGTAGTTTATAAGTTACTGTTAGTAGTTCGTGAAACAGAAAATGTAATTTCCAAATTCCATTGATAGTACAAACGTGTCATTTAAGTGCTGGTTATTTTTTGTTTGCTTATCTGGCAGTTTTGAAAGATTAGCGTGGTATGGACATGTTATGCGACGAAATGATGGGGACATAAACCAGAAAGTGCTAAGATTGAATGTGGATGGCTACAAAGGAAGAGGAAGACCGAAGAAAGTATGGATGGATTGTGTGAAAGAGGATATGCTTAAGAAAGGAGTGGATTCAGATATGACGGCTGATAGAGATGTATGGAAGAGGAGCACATACTGTGCCGACCCTCCATAAGGGATAAGGGCAAGTTGATGATGATCTGGCAGTTTTGACTTCAAATGTCCGTCTTGACCGTTCACGGAAAATTTTAAAGTTTTTTTAAATAGTCCCTGTCGTAATAAGAATATCAGTTAGCTATTAAAATGTTAATCTATGTTTTAAATAACCTTTGAAGATGAATTTTGCAATATATTTAAATTAGTTGATTGACGGCATCTGACCGAAGTTCGCCTTAGCTCCTCTTTGGACTAATTTAAATGCTTTATGCCAGATTTATTGTCTTGAATATTTTTTAATCTCGTAAAGAATTTTAAAATTAAAATAATTCCAATACGATAAACAAAGTTTTTATTTAAGAAAAAGGCATAAAATTAAGATTTTTAGCTAATGATATCACATCAGGTAATGGTAAAAAGAGCATTGGAATTTATAACAAGAAATTGTCTCCGGTTTTTATTTGAAATGTAAAAATCAAATAAGTTTTATTATTGACAACCCTATTCCGTCTAAATCGTGCAGATAACCTGAGATAGAGAAATCACATATAAAGTAACTATTAGATAATTTTTAATTATCGGTATTGTCTTTGATAGCATGACATAACTGGGGATTGGTTTCTCCTATGCGTTGTAATTTTGTTTGTATCTATTACGGTATGATTGTGAACTCAGGCGTGAACATTGCTAACGGCGGCGCAGGCGCAGGCGGCTCGACGACCTCGTGATTGATGTGTAGAAAGTTTCCAAGTGATTGGGCGTTACATTCTGCTATTACTACTTCATTGGTTTGTTGTTGCTTCGATTAGTTCGATACGCTTATGGGCTTGACAGCTACGGCTTTGTTATTCCCTTTAGCTAGTGTGTTATTAGTTGTGATCCAGAAAATTGAATCCTATCTGCTCGTTGACGAATTCATGTGTAGCTTATTAAGTTTTAATGTTAAACTACGTTATCTTTGTTAAGCTTATGTGTTCTTCCAGACTATCCTCTACGTCTATGTTAAATTTCATCGAAATCCGTTCAGTCATTTAGGCTACAAACTCTAACAAACATTCATCTATCCTTTCGCATTTGTAATATTTGTATTTGTATGATTTGGCAATACAAATGTTTTGTGTATCTTTCATTTGCTTTAAGTAAAACATATTTGTTACTTAGGATAAGGAACTAACAGTATTACATTTTTATTTATAGATCAGGTTTATGAGTGGTGTTATGAAGTGTTTATTAGACATTTTACCTTGTAAAGTTTGTCCTTTTGATACCACACATCTTCCTCTTCCTCCACTTGGGTAGCGAAAGCCTGTGTGAGGTCGTCGCGTGAACGCGATAAGATTCGACGTCGTGACACCATCTCCCCACCCGACGCCGCGTCAAACGGGCCCAGGCTGGAACAAAAACTACACTTAGTAAGTTATAATTAGCTGTTCCCCTCGACTTCAACCACGTGAACTCAGCGATAACGTAGCTATTTTATGGTGAAAGAATTTTTGGAATCGGCTCAGTAGTTTTTGAGTTACTGCAATACATACTAAAATCTAAAAATACTAATCTTTCCTCTTTATAATATTAATATAGATAAAACAGAATCACTACTACTGTTTGGGGAAGTATGCTAATCTAATACCGATCTTCAAAATCAGTTCTGCTGTTTGGGCTACAGAATTTCGCAAAGGAATGGTCAAACAGGGATTCAAAATAACATTAATTTAATGAATCAGATTAGATATTAAATCATACAAGTTTATTACTGTTGCAATTATTGATAATAAGAAGTAACAATAGTTTTGTCCAAGTAAGAAGCAAGAATAATAAATCCCGCTCATTATTCCGCGATAGAATTCAGTGACATTTCATAACGATGAATTCATTAAAAACGTATTCTAGATCATTTTGAATTGTCATATTATGTAAATCTACTTCCTTGTATTTTAAATATCAAACTTAATATTATGTATAACGTTTAGAATCTTTAGAGTCATCATTTAATTCAGTTCCATCAAATTTATTGGCATCATATTGTACATGTTAAAATTAATATACGAAATTACGATTGATGAATTACAATTAAAAATTTTTCAAAAATAACACCTGAAAACTAGAAACTATTAGAAATACAAATAACCAGTGTAACCATTAAGACAACAGAGTGGGTTGCGTCTTTTATATCAACGGCAACAAAGCAATAGTTAGCACCGCTTCCTTCCGAGACTTAACAATGTGTGGCATTGGATTCGGCATTGGGGATCGCGGTCCGTATCTAACAATCGCCTCCGACGTCCTCCCATTCATCTGATACATTGCGTCGTTTGTTTACGTCTTAGATGCCCGCTGTTCTAGCAACCATTAGGCATTTGACAGACGTGATAGTTGCACCAACTATCAAATATTTAACACCAAAAAAAATAATATGGATGGATTGTGTGAAAGAGGACATGCTTGAGAAGGGAGTGGATTCAGGTCATATCTGACAGAAATGTATGAAAGATCAGTACATACTGTGCCAAACCCTCCGTATGGGCAAGAGCAAGATGACGAACACTGTCTTTAAACGATGCATGTGGGTTACTGCAATGGTATTTTTGCAAAGCATACAATATTAGAGTTGCTAATTGCTTTACTGATACTCAGGTCCTAACATTAGTCATCGACTAAAGCAACTGAAAATCGGTTGCCAAAAATGTTCAGTAAACTCTAGATATACGTATGTTCAATGGAGGTAATTGTAAATGCTTGTACCCGGCTGTCTGTTCCAGTAACAGTAGCTGCGTTTGCAAAGCGCCTTATAGCGAAGCGTGTTGTCGAAGAAAGTGTTATGTCGATAGCATCTTTGGCGCATTTGCTTGTATCTGCTTGTTTTCTAACGCTCGCCTTAGTAGGCCGTATTGTGCTGTCACTTGTCTATTCAGGGCGTTTATTATAGGCTTTCAGGAAGTAGATCGTTTTCTGATATATTAGGAGTATTTTAATAGTTCGGCGGTCTTTTGAACCTTACTTTTGGTATTCCGATCGGACGTAAATACAACTTAACCATAAGAATACATTAGTTAGTAAAAACGTACTTCATTTGTTTTCAATAATAATTGTCTAGTAAATAGTAAAGAATCAGTTTGATATTTTTATTCAATGACATAAAAGCAATTACTCTTTCGTGATTGAAAAATATTACCTACAAGTACAAGCCGTGGATAGCAACATTCGTTTGTATTTAAAATGATTATTTATGGATGACATTTCCTTTTTAATAATTATTAAAAGAGATTTCTTTTAATTAATCATACAAGATTTACAGACGGATGTGGTTAAAAGTTCATTTTAAAAAAGCCTCTGGAAACAAAAACGAATTGATTAATAATGAACAATCGATCTTCGACTTTCGTTGTTAATTTAATTTTGATCTATAACAAGCGTTACGTTTGTGTATGTTACCGTAAAATTGTTAAATAGAGTTAATAAAAATATGCCAAAGCATTTCTTTTCAGGGACATTTTTTAATATTAACCGATATCATTAGTGAAATTTGAAACTAACAATATTTTACTTTACAGCGATACTCATATAAGGAAAGAAATTCTGACTATCGTGTTTACAAACTTTTGTAAAGACAATGCATTCGTGTTTCAATATGTTGCGTGCAATTCAAGAAAATTAATTATAAACGCGTGTTCTTTCAATCATATGGCAGAATTATTTTACATCTAATTTGATTAAACCAACCATTATGTTTACATTTCCTACGTTATATTATAAAAAGAACAAGTATAGTAATAGTAATAGTACAGCAATAGTAATAGTAATAGTAATAAATGAAAGTCATAAGATAGATAATCTCCAATTCTGTTTCAATAAAGAAACCTCTTCGTTGTTTGAAAATAGTAAGACATTAGTTGCCACATTACAGAGTAGCATCAGTGTGCAGTAGACTAACATTGTGACGCAGCGGTTTGTTATAAAAATAGAGCAAAGAACGGACACCGCGCACGTGTACCCACTTATTAACTTACTCTTTGATTACCTCGTAGTTATAGGGCCTCTCGGATGCCGTAAATGTAAATTCCAAAGCGAACGTATCGAGAAAGCTATGTTTTAATGATACTATGTAATGTGTAGGAACTAAGGAATCAGATTAAAATATTAATTATTATTATTATTAGATTTTTAGACAAAGTCGCTAGGAAAATATCCTAGTTAAAAAATCTAGTAAAAAACATAGCTTACGTTACTCAGAGGTAATGTAGTTTTCTCATGATAAAATAATTTTTGATGTTCGTCTTGTATCTATTGCATTATGTTGTTACAAAGATTTTTTTATTTTTGATTTCCACTTAATGACATTAAATGTAGATTAAAAGTCCATATTCGAATTAAAAAAAACCGTTACAAGCCAATTGGAATGGTAATTATCGAAATAGATTTCCTAAAATAAAACAATAATTTCTGTAATTTTCATTTCTGTAATTAAAAAAGCATTTAATTTATCTTGAAATTTAAATAAAAATGTAACATATGCAATTAATCTTTAAAATGATAGCTCGCAATTGCATTATATCATCGTGGTGGCGGGTCTTTGGCCTCGGTACAGTTATGCTCAGATGACGTCACAGGCGAGGGACCTGTTTACAAGGGACCCGCGACGCTGACCTATATCGACAGGTGGCGCGTGTGTTTAACCACACATCGATATCGATATTAAAATCGATATAATTTAAATAGACAGGTTTATCTAATTAAAACTATCAGATTTAATAATTAGGTTAACATTAACATTTCTGAATTATTTCAAAGCTAAATTAATACCGTAAGATTAACTATTACTGAGATATTTAGAGCGAAATTGAAAAAAAAAATCTTCATCAAGATTATCAAATAATAAGGTCAGTAACAATGAAACAGCAAAGGTTTTGAATGGAAAATACGTTCATAGATTTGTAACTGATAAACAAAACACAAACTCAGTTATTAGGAATCAAAATATAACCTTTAATTAACTTCAATCATGTAACATCTTTATCAATACAAACACAACTTAACCGCAGTCACACCTTTAGATCGCTCACACACCTTGGACTAAACTATCGCACGACTGATAACATTCTGAGCTTATATGGAGGTGGGCACACTACTCGATTATTACTTGTGCAACTTAACAGTTGAATCGGTTGTAAAACAAACGACGATCGCACAACAGTTTAGTTAATAGTGTGGGCCCGCTCTTACCGATGATACATTGACCTAGTGTAACAATTACGTGTACAGTCATTGTGCGCAAAAACGGTTCCAACCCGGCCGACCCGTTAGTCAAGCTAGTTATTACGGGAGAGGCTAGCGGAGCAGAGCCTTTTTCTTTTCTTATCGTGCCTCTATCTCGATACTTCAATTACGACGTAGGATAAAATTACGTCATTTTATTGTAGTATCTCATCGATCAAATGGTATACTGCTTTTTTAATTACAACTGTATTGTTTGCATCTATTTACCCGACTAATTTATATATTTTCATTCTGTTTGCTCCTTTTGTTCTAATAATTTGCTTAATCTATACTAGTATTATACAGAGGTAAGATTTGTATTTTTATATTTTTGTATGTATCGGAATAACTGAAAAACTACTTAACCGATTTTAAAAAATCTTTCACCATTAAAGAGCTACGTAATTAGTAAGTAACATACGAAGTTTTTTCATTTTTTTTTATTCCGCGAAGACGAAGTTGCGAGCATCAACTAGTATGCAACAAAATCAATTCGAGAAACGTGTATCGAAAATATTAAATAAATACAGTTACATGGCGTCAAGTAAGTTTGTTACAACACACACAATTTCAGTAAAAATTGACCGAAAACATTCTTTACAACTACTTTCCAAGTCAAATTACAACGTGCTCGCGATCCTAATTGTATTCATCTATTGTAGCGCCGAAAGAATGTAGACTTTACATACAGAATACTTTTAAAATGCAAATTCAGTTGATCTCCCTCAGTACATAAGGCTCATAATTCTCTGCATGAGTTCTCAAAAGCGAGGTTCTTTTCGATGATTGGTCGCGTTCCATTTTTAAATATGCTTTTGTTAAGCAAAAGGCATTTTCGCAATGCGTTAAAAATTCTACGACTAAAATAGAATATGACACCTTTAGTTAATACGAAGTTAAGGTCACGGTCAATTTATGAACTTTGAACTATAAAGAAGACGTGATTTAGTTTTTACAATGTATTGATCCAAAAACATGAAAAAGGTTTTTTGGTATATTAATAAAAAAAATAATATAACATTATACATTAAAAAAAAAACTCCATAACTGTTTAATCGAAGGTGAAATATAAAAAAGGGTTCATGGAATATTTAAGAAACATTTAGAACCTAACGTCAATTGTGTGTAGGCGCATGAA